AATGTGACATTCTGCCTTCTAAGCGAGAGGAAACTATCTTGTGCGGAAGTGTCGAGTTTCACAATCGCTGGTTACCAACATCATGGAGTGTCCCACCCCTCTAAAGGATGCGGTGTTTCGATTCTTGTGCGTGAAGATTTTCCAGTAGAAGTAGGACTCACCGTAGTTGCAAGCATTGAGCATGCTCATGCAACGATCCACATGTCAGAAGGTCTGGCACTCACAGTGACGTCAGCATACTCTTCCCTTCGGGGAGAACATACACAACTTCGCAACTTGACACGCTTTTGACGACAAGCGGACTTCACCTCATTGGTGCAGATGCTAATGCGCATGCAATGGCATGGGATTGCGCGATCCCCCCTGATACCCGTGGCGATGTGCTAGTACAATGGTGCCTCGATAATGGCTGCGTTATTCATAACGCTGGAGAGTGCACTCCCCACACCACACGCCATGGCCCGTCCGCGCCAGATGTGACAATATCCCGAGAATGCCGTCTCGAGTCATGGACGGCACCCTTCTCCCCGGACAGCGACCATTGCATCATCCTCTTCGAATTAGCAGTAGGAGATGATAATGATGAACCACTGCGGTTCCTGGCCCTCGTGCCCCCATTTATGCATGGAAGAAAACGAAATGATCTCGCTTTAGACAAATGCCAAACGCACAGCGCAACAAACGCCTTAAAGAGAAAATGAGCGTCCACAAGAAAGAACGACTACTGACCTCCGCCACCCGTATCGCAACAGCTGCGGCGGTTCCCCGCGGGGGTCGAGACACCACTCCTTTTTGGATCCCAGAATTAAATGAAATCGAAGAGAAGATTCACAATTGTAAACCCTCTGTCTCCCGAGACAGACTGGAAGCTCGCAGAAGAGAGATGCCAAGACAAACATCCCATAAGAGATGGAAAACCCTCTGTAATAACATGGCCGTGGCAGACGGCTGCTGTTGGAACATTTTGAAGAGGATCTACACCCCGCGACCCCTCAGTACCCCGGCGATTAAACTTAACAACACGGTACTCACGGAAAAACAGAAAGCCAAGCACTTTATCCGTTTATATTCACGGAGAGCTAAACGGCAACCACATTCCCACCCTCCACCACCCATTCCTGCCACCGATACAGAATTCATACCCATTACAACAGCAGAACCGGAACGGGTACAGCGTCTCCTTCCTAAAGGGAGGGCCGCAGGTCCAGATGGTATCTACGGCGAGTCACTCCAACACTTGGGACCTCGTGCCAAAGCAGAGACTCTTGCCCTCTTCAACGAGAGTCTCCGTACGGGCGT